TCAAGTGTCCATTCTCCAAGCTGACCATTAAGCAGTCTGCTAGTGGTTGGCCCTAGTCTGAATCCCATAGCGATTCCATATTTTATCGATTAATCACATCGTGAAATGTGAACTGAACGTTGAATGGGCAGGTAAATAACAGTCCCTTAAGGCGGGGGATCGGTATCCCCACATTTATGTTATCTGCTATGCATCTTCAAAGTAAGTACAAATACTTCTAATATGTGACTGCATATGATCTGTGTAAAGTAAACAGATTATATAACAAGACAGAATATATTCCTAAATGATGTTAAACCACATGTCATATATCTCTCTGAGTCAACTCAATAAATAGAAGTTTTTTTAAATTTCTTCCATCTACTATTTCCGAGTCTTTTGGGAGCAGGAAGTTTTTGTGCAAACAAATACGCTGGGAAAATTTAGTTTGATACGCACGAAGAAGTTGATAACAATGAGAATTTCACTGTATACTTTAGATCAGTAATGATTTTTTCTAGTGAGACTTTATTGCTAACAGTATACATCTTTGAGCAATACAAGAACAAAGACATTTCCAGAATAAAATGAGCTCATTTTATTTCATAGCTTTTCATCTGCTGCAACACAGCCTACATTCGAAATGAATTAGTATTAGTAGTAATAACAACATGACATACTTAAAACATCCAGAAATAAAATGGAGATTTGAAATCCAGCATTAACAATAAGGTAGTAAGTCAAGGAAACACAGAAATAATAATTACATACCTTAGTCAAAATGTATGACCTACAGTCGAATACATCTAGAAGCTAGGAGGATAAACTCATAAAATCCCTAGTGAAAGGGAAATTACATGAAGGATTTTCTGAAAATTCAAAGAAGTACATATGCAATCTCTCAAATATCACACTAAATAAGATGGAAACTGAAGCTATGTATCTTGGTTTTAAATTTCATATCTCGTTTGAACGTATTAATCGAAGTGAAACAAAAGCACAATTTGAAAACTCATACCAGCAACTTCACGATTTGAAGCCTATTAGATAAGAATAGAAGAAGCTGGTTTAAATCTAAGCTGGTTGATATTGTCAACCAGTTCTGCATATCTTCATATCAGCAGTCAGAGATTCTAACTAAGCACCATAGGCTGACGCCGTAAAAGTTGCACAAGAAACATGAAGTTGTTTTAACTAGAGCTGATAAGGGGTATGGTGTCGTTATAATGAATAAAAATGACTACTTGCAATAAAATGTTGATGATTTCCGGGGATTCGTCGAGATTCACAGTTGATAGATGCCGAAAGGATGCGACAGTTTCAATTGAAAACAAAGTAAGCAAGCACCTCAGAGAACTTTTGAAGAAGCAATTGATTGATAGAGCAACCTATAGTGAACTTAAACCAAGAGGTTCACGACTACCTTTCATGTACGGCCTTTGAAAAATCCATCAGTCCAGTGTTCCTTTGAGACCCATTTTGTCCATGATAAATTCACCTTGTCACAAATTGGCTCGTTGGTTAGCAAAGAAATTAAAATCCATCAGAAAAGCTCTAGCAAATCATAGCTTGAGGGATACATCCCAATCCTCTGAAGAACTGGATAGATTAGATATTTCAGATAAATTCATGGTATCATTTGATGTTTCCTTATTGTTTATGGACACACCAGTGGATGAAACTATAGACAAACTGTCAACAGTCTGATCAACTACCATTGCCGAAAACAGAACTCAAATAATTACTGCTCCTCTGTACAAAATGTGTTCAGTTCCAGCTTATCAATCAACTATACTGGCAAACTGATGGAGTGGCTATGGGTGACTAGGACCTCTCCTAGCTGATATATTAATGGCTCTTCGTGAGCGAACAAGTCTGAACACTGCGATCACCAAAACACATTACTGTTGGTATGTCAATGATACTTTCATCGTTTGTGATAATATGAATCACGCGTCAAAGTTGTTCGACACCTTCAATCAAGCTCATCCAAATATTAATTTTAAAAATGGAATATGAAAATGAGGACAGATTCAATTTTTTGGATCTAGGTATAAGACGGAGATGTGATGGTACATTTGAGAAAACTATCCACAGAAAAGACATGTGGATTGGTAAGTATCTTCACTAAAGTAGACTCTTTTGTGTCAGCTATAAATGTGGTTTAGTCAGGATGATATTCACTAAAATAAAAAGGCTCTGCTCTAAAGATAAGCAAGAAGAACTCGGGACAATTGAGAAGGCTCTTATAGAGAATGGCTATTCGAAGAAATTCATCATGAAGCACGGAAAAAAAATTTATTGGGAGAACAAAACATCCAACTGTTGAGAAGTCTGTTTTCCTTCGCCTAGCATTCAAAGGTAATGAGACATCTGAAAGAATACACAGAAGAATAAAAGCTACACTCAGAAAGAGATTCACTGCTGCCAGACTGATCTCAGTTTACAATACATTATGCTCAATAATACAGACGAAAAAAGACAAATACCCATCTCACGTCACCTCCAACTGCGTATATCAATTCACCTGTGCTTGTGGAAGCAAGTACGTAGAACGGACTGAAAGGATGGCATCTACTCCATTTTATGAACATATTCCGACAAATCTGTGTCTGAATGGTAGAAACGTCTTTAAAAGCGTAATCGCAAGCACCTGATGGAAACAGGACATCAAATAGATGTTTCTCAATCTTTCACGATAATCAACAAACAAAGAATACTATGTTAATTACGGTTTGCGGAAGCTCTCTGTTATGGTTTCGAAGTGTTAATGGTATGTGTATGTGTTCCAAAACGAATATAATACGCGCGCTTAGCTGACAGCTAACTTGGTACGCAAGAGTCACTGGCTGCAACCCCGGGACGAATAGAGAGATAGACCGAAGCTGGCAGATGGGAGAGTGTACTACTCCCAGAATATAATATAACAACAATGAATCAATCCAAAACACGTGAATAAGTATACACATGAAAACTGACCTTGTCCGCAATTGGAGAAATTCGCATGGTAAGAGTAAAAGTTAACCAATCAGCGAATTACATTACAATGGAGGCAGAAAATAGACTATTAGTCATACCTGATATAAAGGGCACAGTGATACAGTATTATTTACTTGATTACGTTTCGAGCAATAAAGCATTCGAAACAAAGAGAAAGCATCTTTTCTATTACATACAAAGTAAACAGGAAAAAATATCATATGCAGATTAGTGTAACTGGATGACAGACAATCGGAGTATTACTTGACCGAATCATGGAAACGATCAATTCATATAAATCTTTATGAAACCAACTTCAGTATTTGAGCAACTGAGTCAGACAAGACAATACACGCAACTGCATAGTGGTCCAAGTTGCCACAACTCATATCAGCACAACAAGTGACAAACTAGTAAAATGACGAGAGAAAAACTGGTCAAAGGCAGTAAAAAAAGAGTTGAAAAGAGAAAGAAAGAATGAGAAAATGCTGAATTCAGTACGGTGGTTAAGATAAAGTGCGGATACATCTGCGCCACTTACATCGATTTGGAGCCATATCACTCAGTGTCTGGTCACTGGCTTTTTCTGTCATGTGAACCCCAACCGGCTAGTCTACATCGCCTTACATGCCTTAGACTAACTATCAAGGACTTCATGCACTGATATCATGTTTTCGTCTGGCCGCCTTCCAGCCCGGAACTACTTCAGCCAGCATTGGGAGAGGAAGTAGATGGTGACCAGGTATGCATTGCACCACTTCCGTCGTTGGAGGTTCAAAACCTCATCAACTGACTTTTCTCTCCTCCCTAAAACTCTACGTCTGACTGTGTTACTCACACGGTGACACCACGACCTGTGTACTAAGGAAAGTGTTCAGAAACCCAAAGCCGTCTCAAGTTCTCTGCCTTTAATGGTCATGTTTCACAGCCATACAGTAGGACAGAGCGAACTGCAGCACACTACACTCACAGTTAATAAGTAAACGGATATTGTGGCGGTGGCGCCACAGATGGTGCAAATCGGCGAAAGCCAATCGAACCTTTTGTATCCGTGCAGATATTTCATCGACCACTGACCCACGAGGCCTGATCCAATTCACCAAGTGGGTCAACAGCTGGAGAAATCTCTGCGCGGATACAAAAGGCTTGATTGGCTTTTGCCAACATATGTCACCACAATATCCTATTGCCTGTATCAGATTATCAAATGGATTATGCATCTTACAGACTGAATAACTGGAAGGAAGATGGCGGAGTGCATTTTTGTAAACTCGAAGAGAATTACTCGCAAGAAGAACTACTTAACCGTCATCTGAATGGAAACTGTACAATAATATTTTTCGCCACATCAATGTACACATTCAACTTACCTTTTTTACTAGTAATCTAATAAAACAGACTAATCTACAGAAAAAACTACGTGTATGAAACTTTGTTATCACTAGAAAAGAATAAGACTTATTACGATTCTGTTAAAGTAGTTGTATAAAGCACACAATCTTGGAATATATATTTATAAACTTTCTTGTTCTCGTTTACCCTAAGAGACGTTATCTTTGCATCCCATTTTTATATCTTCAGTTTTATACTACTTGGTATTTTCTGAGTAGTATAATTCATATCTCATCATTTCCAAGGATGACTGTTCACTCCGTTTAATCGTATCTTGTTTGCCACTGAACATCTGCAGATATTAGTATCTTTCACAGTTCATGATGGTACCGCAGTTTCGTCCGTTGTTCCCGGGTGTTCTGTTCTACCTTGAACATTTGTTTATCTTGCGTCGTTACCTCATCATAAAAACTTACGCTCGTCTTTAATATCCCCTTCTGGTGGCTTAGACACAGCCTTTGTGTTTTTACTGTTGATGCACTCTTTGTAAAGTTTTCACAGTGATAAACCCGTAGATACCTCATGATTCAAGGTTTGTATTTTATTACTTAATAATGCTTATTAATATAGAACCGTATATCAGATAAATCCTGTGTTTCTGATTTTACGCGTAATTCGAACGTTTAGTTTATTATTGAGAAGTCGCTTGTATGTATGTGTGTGCTAACGTTAAAATAGTTTAATTATGCAAATCGAAAGAAGACATGCCCAAAAGAAGTACTCAGTACGCTATCACTTGTTATTATAATAACAGTAACAATAAACAATTTTAAAAAGAATCCATACTAGACATGAATAAATGATTATTTTTCCATCGTTATGAATCCATAATCACTCTTGATTACAATCTGTTTGAAGAGATGAAAAAGATCTTAGATCAATGGTGGGGTTATGCTGTTCCATAGTATTCAACAAACAGATACACACTGAACAGGTGTAAAACCACCATAAAATATACAACAGCAAACGAAAAGAAAACTTGCAGCCATAAACACAGCAGTTACACAACAGTTACTCAGTGAGTGCGTATGTAAAGAACTCGTATGCAATGACAAAGAACTTCAAAAGTTAATACACCTGATTATGAACAAGGTGATAACACATTAAAAAATACAATGGGAGAAAAAGTAAAGTGAAAAAACGAATAAGAAAGTGTATTATATGTAATCGTGAATTGTTACAAATGTGTCCTATTGTTCTCGTCTACTATAAATTGTCATGAGTGCTATTGGAATGAATCACATCAGATGTAGTTGTTGTTTGCTCTGTGTTCAATTCCTTTAATCGACTACTCAACTTTTGTGAGAAACTATCACGAAATAATCGACTTCTTGAAGATAACAAAGCATAGATTGTTTCATAATAATCACTGTATTCAACAGATTGAACATTAGAACTGGACTTGTCACTCAGTTGTTTTCCAATTTCATTATAACTGGGTATTTTTTTTTTGAAAAAGAAGAGTGAAATTTAATTCTTAAAAAATATTTAAATTAGTGGAAAATTCATAAGTTTCAAGGTAGTTTTCATTATGGAATGACATCAGCTGAAGGAAAATAGGAAAACCTGAGAGTAATAGACAGATGCCTTGTCCTATCCAAGGACTCTTCAGTCGCACACGCCAACGATTTTAAACAGGATCGAGCCCAATAGAACGTGGAGTCGAAGCCAAGATGCATTCAGTAACTTTGTTCATATTCTTGCAATAGGCTACACCTGTTATATGAGGGTTAATGATACTACGCGGCTGCCCAAACTGCAGCAGATGCAGTGGTGTTAGAACATGCAACTTAATGGTTGAAAATCAACTGCCTAAACCAATGAGCCACAGCCCATAAGAAAAAATGAAACACTCGATGCATCTAAAAGGTAGAATGTTCCAAATATCTGAAATCTGTGATAAACCATTCCTGTTACATGTATTAGACGTTGATTACAAGTCAGTGCATTCAGAATGATAGCAGAGTTTTTCTTTAAATTACTCATCTTAAAAGGGTATATCACTCCATGTTTCGTTAAAACTTTGAGCTCTAATATCCTGACTAACCCCCAAATCGGTTACTTTAACCAATATACTCGACCTCATAATCATTGTGTAGTATTTGATAGATCAGGTTATTTCGTCAAACTAGATCTTTTAGCACAAAAAGATTCTCTGAATCAGTTTTTAGCTTGAAATGTTATCCTAATCCCAGGAATAAAAATCTTACGTAAAACTTAAGATGTCTCTGCTTTACATGCCGACTGTAAACAAGGAAGAGACAACTATCTAGTTTTCCCAGGTTCCCAATGATTCTTCAGATGATGTTGACCAGTGATGAAAACAACCTTCAGATTGAGACGAAAACAAAAAATAAAACAAAGGACAAGAATACGATTTAACTAGCAGTTGTAATATGTGTGGACAGTATCATCTAAAAACATCGGAGCGTAGTGATTGCCAGCTCAACAATAGAGAAAGCTGCTTCAAAATCAATTAGTATTTTAACAAAAGATTAGGATATATCGCCTTTAAACAAAGGAGCCTAGACGAAAAATCAGGCGGTTAAGATACAACAGATATCTGTTCCTGAAAATCTTGTAGGTGCAGTTTACATGCTGAAAACCCTACATCAACAAAATGTTAGTTCTACTCCCAGACAGTAACAAATTATCTCAACCTACCTGAATTAAATGAACCATAACTTACTGAGGTTGTCAGAGGACTGAAGAATGATCAGATGGTCAACAAGGATCTTTGCGAACACAGAAGACGAACTTATTCGGTAATACCAAGATTACATAGCAAGTGATTGACAATAGAAAGCTCAGTGACACCTTTAAAGTGAAGACAGGGAAAGACAAGGTGGCCTACAATAGCCGATGATCTTCCTGATCGTGTTGTGAAGGACTGGAATGGATCATGCAACAAACTGTGAAGAGCGAAAACATAACCATACGCTGGCTGAACCGATGAAAAAAACCCCGAAAAACATTTGGATTTCGCCGATGATGACTTGTTTTCTAATGCCACACAAACTCCAAGATCTACAGACGATAACCAACAAGTTGGTAGCAAAGACGAGACTTCAGGCAAACGTAGAGAAGATGGAGGTGATCAAGATACCCAACCATAGACAACAAGTACCAATCACCATCAATGGGAGAAATCTAAACGAAGTTGTCTCTTCCACCTACCTAGACAGGCAACATCACTCCAACTACAGGTGGAGGTGGCACAGATGAAGATGTCAAAGCCACGATCCGAAGGACAGCAAGACAGACCTTCATTAATCTGAAATAATCAGTGTGGAGATCTACTGCACTCCACTCCACTCAGCATAAAGCATGAACAACATCCTGATTTTCAACACTAATGTCAGTCAAGTAAGGCAGTGCTTCTATGTGATGGTTGAGAGACTTGGTGGCGTGTTACGAATAGCATATCCGACAAACTACAGACATGTATCACTAACAGCTATCGCCTACACTCACTCGATGCTTAAGATGGAGATCAGATGACCATAATAATAAGAACATGCAACAAGGAACTCTGACTGACTGGCAACAAACCATCCAACAACCTATCACTCAACAAATATGTAATAGAAGGGAGTGGAGATGGATTGTGGGTATACACTAAGAAGAGGGATTGAGGATATCACGCGGTAGGCCAGGTAGTTGAGTGGAACCGGAATGCGAAACGACGAATTGGGTGTGTGAGGGTGACATGGAGGAGATTGTGTGAGGAAGAAATGAAAGCCTGTTGGCAGTGGTAGAGCCATTTTCGAAAGACTGTAGGGGAGAGAGTGAAATGGAGACGTGCTACTGAAGTCTTATTTTTCACTAGGAACCTAAGGGACAAATAACAAAAAAATTACTCAATTTCATACCTTTGACCTTATTGTTTGAATTCTATGCATCTTATTTTCTGAATCAACTTAAATCTATTAACGCCTTTTTTATGCATACATTTTATGTTACCTTTCTCAGGATGTAGAATACATTTATCTCGTCCTTCTTATCGAACTCCCATTCCAGAATATTCGTTGGATCATTCTATGCATATAGATAATCGCCGTATTAGTTCCTCTACATTTACTTACTCGTGTATCTTCCGTTGTGTAATTACAATGTTATCTTCATTTCAAGCCTACACTGTTCTATAAACTTGGTTCTAGTCTGCAAACATTTTGTATATCATGATATTAAAGTTGTTTCAGGTAGTAAATAGTTGATGAAAAGTCCTGGAAAAAAAACTGATCCATGTATCCTGCTAAAAGTGTTGTTTTCGCTCCTTTTAAGCATGACTCTATTGTTCAATTTAATTCAGAATTTTAGGGAGAAGAGGTAAGTCGTTTGATGAGGTTGTGAACCTTCATCAACTGAGATGGTTGGCTGGGACACATGTTACGTGTGCCTAGTCGCCGTCTGCCTCGTCACACAACGTTGGCCGAAGTAGGTTCAGACTAGAAAAGGCTCGAGGCGACCACACTAAAACATAACATCAATGTATGAAGTCTTTGATTGTTGATTTGAATGATGTGGGGTGATGCAGACTAGCCGGTTGGGGTCCACGGGACAAGAGAAACCAGTGAGTGATTGGAGACTAGGTGATATGGCTGAGAACTGAAGTCAGTGGCGCAGATGTGTACACACATTATCCTCATCTTAACTCTATACCGAATCTCACCACTTTCTCACTCTTCCTTTCTCTCTCTTTCTCTCAGAGTACTTTATAATTCTTTTGAATGAGTTTTCTTTTCTTCATCTTCCACTTCACTGCCTTTTTACTTGATGTGGCAACTCGGACCGTTACTCAGTAATGCTTGGTCCTATTTTGATTTGGACAGATGGAGTTGAATTGCATTTATTATTATTATTCTACCTATTCATACACTTTTAGATTTGATTAAACGTTATAAATACCATACATGCAAAATTATTCCCTAGACAACCAGTTGATATGTGAAGACTTTACAAAAACGTATGTTTGTATTATAAACCTATAAAATTCGTGCCCACCTAATAACAACGAATATCATTATATGTTCATAACACAACATTACTGTTTTCCTGTCTGTTTCATTCTGTCATCACATTGTCTCTTTTTATTTATGTTATACAACAAATTGCTTATTTTTACCTGACTCGCTAATTTAATCGTTTCACACTATTGATCTTTGTAGATTAGCTCTACTCTGATAATTATGAGTAAAATAACTAATCAGGTTTTGATATTTCTGTTGGGAAAGTACTTTGTCATAAAATAAACAAGCGCAATTGCTTATTTCAGCAGTTGTTTAGGGTGACATTTAAAGTCACTCGAATAATTACTGATAATGGTTGTGTATATAACAGACTGAAGTCTTGTTATTGTGGTGAATTCTTACAATATATAAGCCAGTAGATGAATACGTCCATCTATGTAGTTTTGCTAAATATATTATACATTCGGTATGTGATAGACTCAAACGTTTTGTTATCCATTTGTCAGGTGTTATGATGAGTTTTCTGTTAAGGTAGGCTTCAAACATTATAACTAACACCAATATATAGAAGAAGAAGGACTGTGAAGGCCACTCTAGCAACTACTGAAATAACCATTTCAGTAATCACTTCATGCAGAAAAAAAAATATCTTCCCAGCCGAAATAAAGAGACCGAATTGCTTATTTCAGCAGTTGCGCTAGGGTGAACTTAAGAGTCATTCAATGATGAAAATGTAATGATTTTAAATGTTGCAATCCATCGTTCATATTTCGTATAAATTTACTTTAATCCATTTCATATGGATCAACTTTGTCAATCCCATTCACTACTAGATAAGAAATTCAATAATATTTGACTTTTTTTTATTTGCTTACGGGTATCATTATTCTATCGTGGGAAAAGAATTACTATTAGATCGACACTTGACCATGAGACGAAAAGTTATCTCTCATAGGAAGTGAATAAAAATAGGAATTAACATTTCAAGTCATTGTTCAATGGAGCTTCCAATTCTGATGACTTATACTGCTAGTAATCAGGATAGCCTTATTAAACAGTTAAATGTTTCAGTGAACCGAACAAGACTATCTATACTGGGTGATGATTGATGGTGAAATGGAAATTTGGACCGCGGCTGAATTATCAAAATGGTAGTCAATATGATTGCTCCCTCTCCCCTTTAATTCAGTTGGATTTGGATTTGGATGAAAAGTTCTGACTAAGCAGCCGGTGTGAGTACGATCAAGCAGTAGTAACACGTCACGAATTCACATGGTAGTCGGACAAAACGCCTTTGTGATTGAAGTAAAATAAAAATCCCGTCAGCAGTTGAACCTCATAGCTCAATTGGTAGAGTATTGGGCCGGAAACTCTGTGATCGCTGGTTGGAATCCGGCCGCGGTCCAAATTTTCATTTCACCATCAATCATTACCCAGTATAAATACTAGTCTACCAAAACACGGC